GCTCACAAGTTACCCGGTGTGTTAACTGGTTAGGTAGGCAGCTGTTTTGATTCAAAATATTCTGATCCGCTGAGAATTGCCGTGCATATCACATATACCTTGATCTTTTTCATTGCAATGGCACCTTCATTTCTCTGTGGAATGCTCCTCTATTTTCCAAAGGTTTTTCATTTGTGATTTTATTTGACGCTCATAATATCCCTGGAAATTGGGTGTCTGACTTCTTAGCTCCATGAGGTGGTTTTTTTCCTACAAAGCTTGCATAGACAGGGAAGACCGTAAAACAGACTTCGTATTAAAATATGGTGCTACACAAAATTAATGAATTTTCACATGTAATTCAGAATGTACTTCGGGAGCCTGCAACACCTGAGTGACCATTACAGAGTCAGAAAAATAAAATCCTTAATTCTAACCCAGGCTACGTGGCTTCCTAGGTGTGTGACCTTGGGCAAGTTACTTAAACTTTGTGAAACTCAGTTTTCTCATCTATGAAATGGGGAAAACTCCCCATAAGTGTTTATAAGTATTAAATGAGATGATGCATACGAAGCAGTATTCCCAGTGCTGGGTATCGATCGAGTGCTCAGTAGACATTAACTATTATTTTGATATAAATTATTGCACAGAATTTTCAGTTTTAATGGGCAAGTTTTTCACTTTCTAGGTATATAGTTTACTTCACAACAGTTGCTTGGCTTCCTAAAGAGATTCCTCTCTAACATGAAAAATAAATCTAGTCTGGAGCTTATAAAAATCGTATCACTTTAGATTGAACCGCAAAAGTGTTTAATCTCCATCTTATAGGAAAGAGGCCGTCCGTAGCCGGTTCTATTTTTATTTTCTTACCAATTACTCTATTTTGATATCTTGCTATCTTTTTTCTCTACTCGTACTTTTTCTACTGTTACATTACGGATGTTAAATCTACAAATAATAGAGAATGGTGTAGGCAATTAGTTGTCAGCGTCATTAAATAGTTAATAAGCCACATATGGGGACATGCAGCCAGCAAAATGATTAAAGCAAAACCATGTCCATTATGCACAGCTGTGTGGCAGAAGATTGGGGACAGAGCCAAAGTTGCTGCCTCCTTATTTTTAGCCCCCTACACTGAGCATAGATAAGAATGAGGGGTTAGAGAAGGTTCTGGGACCAAGTAAACAGCCCAGGTTTGCCTGGGGAGGCAATCCCTAGGGCGAGGGAGTCAGCATTTCTGGAAAAGGTGAGCTGGAGCAGAGACCTTTTCAAAACCTTTGCCTGGAGGCCTGGAACTTAAATTAATTGGCAGCTACTGACAGCATGACATTCCCGTTCTCTCGAGGGGCTGGGCTGCAGAGCAGAGTCAAGCGGAAGGAGATGCGAATGCCATGTATGGATACCAGTCCCCTGAGAAGTTAAACACTCCCGTAAGAGACAAAACCTGCGTTTGCTCGGGCTGCAGCCCGCACGGGACATGGCAGAATGAAGCTGAGTGTGACAGGGACCTCCAGGGTCTTAGGTTTTCTTCCTGATACACTAACTCTGGCCCCCACCACACACAAGCTCCCTCCTCCCCAGCTCGCCCCCACTGATCTGCCCCATTCTCTCATTTATGAAACACTGGATGAAAAGATTCACCTCCCGCCTCTTTCATCCGAGTGTTACAAAGATTAATGATGTGAACCTCAATGCTCCTCCAGGGAGGCTCTGTACGATCATTTCTTTTCAGCATACCACTCCGCGATGTTTTCCGCGTAGACCTGTCAGCTCCGCTGAAACAAACCAGAGAGAGGCTTGTTCTGCAATTTACCATTTCCTAGGGCTATGGGGCTGTGCCAAGGGCTTTAGAGTGCAGCTTGCGCTAGAGGTTAGACTCCCTGGTGGCCCAGGTATGGTTAAGGACTGTCGAGTGTTATCTGGGGGCAGTGGACGGGGAGGGGAAGGGAGGGATTGGCTGGCGAATGCAAAGGCCAGCCTACCAAAGCAAAATGAAAGGAAGAAGGAAAAGCAAAAACTAGGCTGTAGGGCAAAGAATAGCCTTCTAAATATGACCGATGGCCTCTTCCACTCGTTTTATGTTTAGTTTTTGTTAATTTTTCAATTCAAGCAAAATTTACATCTATTAGTTTCAGGCATACAACATGATGATTCGATATAGGTATGCACTGAGAAATGATCACCTCGATGAGTCCCGTTAACATGCATCACCACACAAAGTTGCGATTTTTTTCCTATTATGAGAATTTTTAAGATCTACTCTTAGCAATTTTGAAACATGCAATACAGTCTGTTTACTATAGTCACCATGCGGAACATTACAGCCCCATGACATTTATTTTTTTAACTAGACATTTGTCTCTCTTCATCACCTTTACTGACTTTGCCCACTCATTTTTAAGGGATTCCAACATCTTATTTGGAGAAAAAGCAACGTAATATTAGAAAAGAGAGATTAATTAAAAAACTAAATTACTATAAGGAACGAAACACCACTAAATGGGGGCACAATTTATTTCACTGTTTAAAATTTTACTTAAGAGGGGTTTGAGAAAAAACTGACTGACAAAAATACATACTATTTTACACTGTATATTTCTTTATGCCTTATAAGGCATAAAGTAGTATATATTATATATAGTATAGAGCAGATTAGATAAAGCAATTAAGGCAAAATCAAATAATAAATGAAGTGAAGTGAGTTGGCAGGATTGCACGAGCAGAACTATGCTGTGTTTAAAGCAGGTCACAGATCAGTTCTTGGATTCTCAGAAGTCAGTTCAGGATAATTACATGACTGGTTATAAGATTCAAGGTAGCCATAAAGGTAAAGCCCATAAATTCCTCCAAAACAAGCAAACAAAAAAAAAACAGTCACAGATTTTTCCTGTCGGTCTCCCTGAAATATTGCAACAGTCATCTACTGTCAGGTAATGGTGTTTTCACAAACAAGACTCGACAAGTGTGGGTAGAGTTCATACTGAATTGTGAGTGGTACACACACCACGTAGTATCTCTAAAATAAACAGGTGGCCCCGATACCTTTCCTTCAGTTTTGGTTTTGACTGACACACAGCCAGGTCGGCTTAGAGAATGAGGGTCACACCTTGAAAAGTGTTTAAGGGCGCCAATCTCCAAGCCATTGTCAGGATATGCTTGAGGCCAGAAGAATCAAACATGTTAATACACTAAAAGGGTTCTAAAGCCCTGGTTTTGGGGTGTGTACACTATCTTTGCACTTAGTCTAACTTAGTTGTAACTTGCAGCATGCTGAAGCCGTGGGTCTCTGGAATTTTCTCCCAAGACAGGAAGAAACATCTGATTCCTATGTTTATGGCAGAATCACACGATTTTTGCCGAACTTTGAAATAAAAGCAATTTTAAAAGATGAGTTAGCCTTATAAGCATATAGGCTGCTAAAGGAAAAATGTATGAACAATACAGAGAACCTCGTTGTTATGTCTCAAGAAAATCAAGGAAAATTACTTGTGTGATTTGAGTGTCATATTCTTAAAAGTTCTAATACACACACATTGAGTCCCTGTCTGGAGCTTCTCCCAAAAGAAGAGCTGGTTGAGACGATAGGCGTTGGCGATCTCCTGGTCCAGTCAGAGCTCTAGGACCAAATCCAGGATTTCTAGAAGAAGTGGGTTCCAATACCACTCAGTTCTGAAGCTCCTGGGACAAGTGGAGACTACAAGGCATGTGGTTGGGATGGCCCCATCTCTTGCGGTCTCCACAAACATGAACGAGGGAGGAAAAGCGGCCAGCGCTGCAGGTAGGACCACTGGCCCACGTTACAAAGTCCCTGGTAGAGAAAATGGTGTTGGCATTCTCCCAGGGTTTATGAGCCGGCTCCTTTGAATGTCAGCCACTCCGATACAGCTTCTCTGCTTTATTTTTGTAGAGCAAGCTCTGTTTACATGCCTTAACCCCATGAGGGTAAGAGTTCTTATTTAATAATTATTGAAAACTGGGAGATACTCGGCCCTGCAATATGGTATCAAGCCAATGTGATATGTAATAAGAATGTTAACTTTAAAAGTTTTCTGATCTGAGCCAAGATATCTTTGATGGTAGAATAACTGTATTATCCGTGCTAACAGAGCATGGGTACTTATTGTAATTAAAAATAATTTCTCCTCTGGATATGAAGTTAACCTTACCTCCCTTCTTTAAAAAATGGACTTAAAGAAATAGCATTGTGTCATGTGAAGAAATTAGACTTAAAA